ACAGTGTCATATGTGGGGGGGGAGTGACATCATCCATTAGAGCTCACTCAGGATGGCTTCTTGCAGTAAATAGGCAGTGACGGAGTATGGATTGGTGAGTTTACCTTACTAGAGGGATGATCAGAAAGCACTGTCACTTTGCCCTACATGTGCAGGTCACAGTGTCTCATTAAAGGAAAACAATATTTTCACTGAGCACATGGTGACTTAAAGTATTGTTTTTACTGCAACGTCATTTTTTTTTTGTAATAGTCACCTTTCACATACTTGCTGTACCATATTTATGTTATTGTATTGCATATAAATATTTGTATATTATCCCTGTAGCATCTATCTAATACAGGGGTAGTGAATTAAAATTCAAGGTCTGTTGAGTAAAATTTTCATTAAAAGGTCCGAATCACAGTCCAGACAGAACATTCACTCAGTCCATGTCCATTCTGGCATCTAGGCTGTGTTCCCAGGCACTGTGCTGATTCGCTGATCCCAGCTCCTTGCACTGTTTTTTTTTTGGTTGTTTTTTTTTTTTTTTTGGTCCTGCCCAATGTCATAGGTTGCTAGGACACCGGAGTTCCTTGCAACCAATGACTGAAGCAGAGGAGGGGCCTGCAGGTCAGCGATAGCACTTGATCTGCCTTTCAGTGATGGCTGGTCTAGTAGTTCATTGCAACTAATCCGGTATTCTAAGCAACAAAACCTAGGATAAAATCTTTGCCAAACAATAACTTTTTTTTTTTTTAATACTTCATATTTGTATTAGAAATAAAGGATTACTTTGATTTCTGACATTAAAACATAACTAGTAGTCTTGCATTAACCTAGGGGAACGGCAATGCAGAAACTTTGCAGGACTACTAAGCAGGAAGCAGAGCCTGCATATGTAATGAGCAAACATGGCTGCCCTGTATACATACAGTATATAATTACAAATTATGAACAGAAAATGTATTTATAGCATTAACACACATTGATGAGATGTCCATCAAGCTAATAATTTTAATGTTTATATCTTTTTTTTTTTTTAAACCCTTTACTTTTATAACTACCGGTACCTAATAATCTAGTATTCCGTATATCTACTACTGTTTTAAAACTAAATGTAGATGTTGATATTTGCTCTCCTTATAGCGGATGCATAAATTAACCAATGATATTATCCCCAAATGGCACAGGCTTTCATGTGATACCTTTTAAGATGTAGTTATGCAGAAAGTGACAACTAGACCTTATAAATAATGAAGTGAGATAATATGACCTGCAAGTCATAAAACAGACACATATCCTCAGAGCTGTAATTTGCACAAAAAGACTATAATCACCGGAGGCTTGCTTCAGGCTTTACCTTAACTGACGATCTGTTCATCACAAGGCATAAAT